GAGAGAGAGAGAGAGAGAGAGAGAGAGAGAGAGAGAGAGAGAGAGAGAGATGTGTTCGAATCATACTTGCAGCGCATCTCATGCGGGGGGTGCCGCATGCACATGCATGCACAAACAAGTGATGCGGCGCATTAAAAAAACAGAAAAACAAAATTGTCCTCGTTGTGTCCAGCCTCTTTTCGGAAGGATCCCTACAGCATATTAGCCAGGACCTGACGTCAAGCAGAGATACACTTCTAACTTGTACTCCCTGAGGGTGGGCAGAGAATATATAGTCTGGATTCGAATTCATATCGGTTATGGGTCACCATTTCTCTGTTTTCTTGCTTTCCTTTTCCTTTTTCGTTTTTCTTTCTTAGGAATACGTGCAGTGGCCCTAAGGGCCTTTACTCACCAAATGCACAAGAGACAAAACATATGGTGGCGTATTATTCCACGTTCTGCAGAAGATTTATTCTAATTTTGCACATTTCGCGAGTAGTGCAGCCAAGCCCTAAGAGTCACGTGCAGAGACCAACAGGCCCTATCTAGGTGAGCAACCCATAACTGCTGAAACACAGACCTGAATTCGAATCTTGAGTATATATTCGGCCAGCTCGTGCTCTAATTCATATTCACTGCCTGCCTTGATTTTGGTGGGGGGTTCTGCGCTACATATCTGCGAGGACCCTTCAGATAGTCTGCATGGGCCGTCTGAGCCGTGTTAAGGGGATCTGTTCTCTCTCTCTCTCTCTCTCTCTCTCTCTCTCTCTCTCTCTCCCCCCCTTGTATACACAAAAAAACGCATCTGTGCCCCATCACAGACACCCCCCCAACCCCAGCACCCCCAACCCAGACCAACCCTCCCATCCCCCCACCAAAACCAAAATTTTATTGCAGATTCGGGGGCCTCTCGCGGAGCGCAGAATGACCCTGGTTTCAAAAAAAATAAAAAATAAAAATTCTGGGCGGTTTTTTGTCCTGCCCGGTTTACCAGGGCGGCCCCCCCCGGGCCCAGCGGGCTGGGCCCAGCCCGGCAGGGCAGGCCCGGCCGGGCGGTATCCTCACTCAGCAAATAAATGAATGAACTAATAAAGGAATGAACAGATGAAGGATTGAACAAATGAAGGAATGAATGAATAACAGAATGATGAAGAATGAATAACGAGTGCAAATTGTGATCGGAAAATCTTTCCTTTGGTATTGCATAGATGAGATGGCATGTGTTTAATCTGGAAAGGGGTTCTGATGTCCCCGAAGCACTAGACCTATGCCTAAGCACTTTTGTTCTTACTACCTTCTTCCCCCAAATACAACGTACGGTCATTATAGCTGTATTTAGACTGAAAGCTATCCCAAATACAGCTATAGTGACCGTACGTTGTATGCGGGGGAAGAAGGTAGGTAGGGGTAGGCCCTATATTGTATTCATCCAAGTCCTAAGCCTTTTGTAGGCCCTGTATTGTATTCATCCAAGTCCTAAGCCTTTTGATTTTGAATCAATAAAGATTACAAAATAACAAAAAAGTAAAAGTGACAAAGATGAAAGGGAAAAATCGTTGTTTAACTGCTGGTACACCACTTATTTGTTCATTTTTTGGCTAAGTTTAGAACTTCAGAACAATAATTCATAAATCATTTCAACAAAAGATTGCCAAGCATTGGGTACTATGTATGTCAAGCGGTAGCGCCTGAATTATATTGGACTGTCTTCTGAGTTTAAAGGCTTTGTTTTTACGTACGAGGGGTAGCACCCAAATTGTTGTATTCGCCTAAGGATTGGAACTAGCGACTCTTTGTTAACAGTGACGTTTTCAGGTGCCATTCAGCCTCATGGGTAAGGTGTCAAGTAAGTGTTGGTTAGCGAGAGGCTGTGTGAGTGTTATTACTATAGTACTATAGCAATTAAATGCTATTCATAACTTAACAAGTTATAACAACTTTCATTGTTCAATATTTTCATAATATTCAATTATTCAAATATTCATAATTATTCAATTAATAGTCAATTATTCAAATATTTTCATAATGCTTATCGCCTGTTGCGCCCTATCCTGTTTTCCCTTGTGTAGGGTCCTTACAGCTCGCAGGATCACTCTGGACGCGGTCCGCCCCCAGGTACTGGGCGTTGTTATAACTGTGGTAAAGATGGTCATTGGGCCCGTGACTGTGAAGCTGGGGACTGGAGTAACAAATGCTACAAGTGCGGGTCCCGAGGCCACATTGAGCGGAACTGCCGTGCGAGTCCCAGATCAATGAGGTAGGATATTGGTGCACCATGCCTCTTCCAGTCCTGAGAAATGATCGCATTCTGACTTTTTTTCTAATATATATATTTGACGATATATATATTTGACGATATATATATATATATATATATATATCGTCAAATAGAACTGCCCGGTAAACCGTAGGCAGAGAGGGAGAAGAGGACAACAAATGAGGGGCTGTGACAAACTGTTTCGTCGGAGTTTCACCGACTCGTCAGGAGGCTGAACCCTCAACAGTCTGCAGAATCCCCTCACTGATTACACTGTAAATGATAATCTACCTTAACCAAAATCAAAGTAGACTATCACTCACCCACACCAGATGGAAAACTCTACAGACTGTCGGTTCACACCCCATCACAATATATATATATATAT